TGCACGGCTTACCTGAACTTCTGCAACGCCACCAGGCTAAACGATCCAACTCCAAAACTGCTGACGATGCTAAACATCATCACAAAGCCATCCTATGATCATAAAAGCAATTACGCTAACCAAGCAGAAGCAGGACGCCCAGGCAAAGGCCGGCGCCAGAAGAAAGAAGGAGAATAGATGAAGGCATTCAGAAAGATCCACATATATACAGGTCGCTAGATAAATGCTTTGGAGCCTCAGGCGACAAGGACCGGTACGTACCCTAGTACGTACCATTTCTCTTTGGTATAAGAAGGCCTTGAAGCCCAGCCGTCCCCTGGAGGTTGAGAGGATTAACAAGGCCTTCGAGACTAAAGTAGTTTATTAGCCGAATTGAACTACTGTTCCAAGCCCTGAATACAGCCCTTGTCACAGTTAACATACGGCAAACAATCGTGAATTTGCAAGACTGGAGAAATAAGGAAAGTGTTATGGCTTAGCGCCATGTCTTTTGATTAGCTGCATTATCTACATGCCTCATTTGTTGCATTTACCTATCGGACCCACTTCTCATTTCATTCTTGTATTTAGTCGTGCCAGCTAGACTCGCACTTCCTCTTCTTCCCTTTTACTTTTCATAGTTAATTATTTATTACATTCGTTAGGTTATCCGTGCGCACTACCCTCGAGACCTACGTGCCGTGACAAAAAGTAGGCCTCGCTGTGCGAGAACCCGCATTAAAGAAGTATCAAGTTGAAAAAATTACAAGTTGACTCTTCCCTTTTGTCATAAAGCTGGCGCCTGTAACTCTCCCACAAATAATTCTTTCTTGGCACCCGCTGTTAGTCGGTTGTTAGCGGCCCAGCCAAGAATTACCATTTTTTTAGCGCCTTTGGGTGCCTTAGGGCTATCAATAGCTTAATCCACTATTTTGACCTTCGGTGGAGGGATTCTGGAGAGTTGACCTCCGTCTACGACAACGCTGGTAGCTCTCGAAGCTGAGCTCTTCAACAATATCTACTACTCGGGGAAGATAAAAGGGCGCCGGAATAGTATCATTCACTGGGCACAAGCTGCATCGAATAACAACCACCTCGAAAACTCTGCCTTAGGACGCCGCTTGCCGGACCCAAAACGGCTGGGCCGCATTCTAATCGCTATATCTTCTTCGATCCTCAATGATATCGACAACCACATTGACTATCTCCTTTTCAACTAAGGGAGGATGGCGGACCAATTTTGGGGGTTTCTCCCTTGAGGTTTTCCTCCAACGGCGTTGACCTTTATTACTTCAAATCAGCTACGTGTTACGAACTTATGAGGACACAACGGGCCAACCACAGCACTGGTAGCACAACAAGACCCAAACGGGCAAGGCCGTGTTACCCTACAGGACCAACGGATCAGGAAGGCGCACGCACGGGCTCACCAGTACGAAGGGCTCACCCGTGAGCCACCACACATTAGATAGACCTATGGGGCCCGACAAGAGCATCCGGAGACAGATATCTCGCAGAGGGCGAGCAGGTATAAAGGGACTACGGGAGAACTCAGATTGTCAGATAGTTCGACAGTAGTCAATTGATCATTATCACCGAGACTAGTATCAACACGAGCATACTTGTTGTGAACTATTTAGCTTCACCGAACGTCTTCTGATAGTGTTTACCTTCAGCTATCCCACTTAGGCAGATCAGACTGCCGTTCGTCACACCGCCCCTTTATAGAGAATCGATTGGCTGAACGAGCTTCAGTCCCGTTAAACACACGGCCACACCATCCAGGAGCATGACTGGGCATGACTCCTTGCCCACGGAAGGAAAGTCCATCCATACCAATCCGGTCGTCGTCTGAGTCGAAAACTGGATATTCCCACATCTGGCTGGAGTTTTGCGGATGGCCTCGAAGACAAAACTATGACATTTGCTCGGACGATTTCAGACAAAGGTCACCTTGATATATTGAATACCGATGGCGTTTATTATTGTCGGTAGGGCCGACATTGCAGGTGTCCCAAGCCCCTGACATCTGACCCAAACCAGTTCGATTTAACACCAAGCATTCGAGCCTGAAGAAAAGTTTCGCAACAAAATTGCCCTCCGGGTCTTCCTTTCCTTGATCCCTCTGTCCAGTACGTTCTATCTGGACACTAGTTCAAGACTGGACCTACCGGGGTAAAGACTTGCTCCCCCGACGTCAAATTCCGGATGGTTAGACTTCCGAACCCGCCAGCACTGTAATGGTCAAGGTAGACGACGCCATATTATATATCACACTCGCATTTGCAACCTCTAAAGAGCCCGGATAAGAGCGCCGGTGACGGCAATTGGATGGCCTTGTTCGTGATTGCCGCCCAGTATTATGATGCTTCTTGTATCGACAAGGAAAAGCTTGTGGGTTCCGTCATATACTGGCGGCTCGCCCACTGGGCGATTCGATTATAAGTGTTGGGCCACGCTTACGCTATGGGCAACACATGATTTACACTAGCAATAGGCCTCGGTTTGCCCTCGGATTAATGGTTTTGGTGGACAGTTAGGGCATTGCTCTTAATTTTGTATGCTAGACTCACCGGTGCGGCACGTCTCATGCCCTACGGGAGGCGGAAGTAGACGTTAAAAATAACAACAACAACAACAACAACAAGAAAGGTTACACCTGAAGCGCCAGCCCAGCAATCCCAGATTGTCACAAAGACCACGGGCACGGGAGCCACAGGCCTCACCATCACCACGGTCACGGGCATCGTGGGCACATCCACGCGCACTATAACCGGACCGGACGGATCCGTCCTCGTCCCACCTCCATCCCCGCCCACCCCGGCTGTGAACTCTCCCCTTAAATGGCCAAAGCGACGGAAGATTATACGATCGGCGTCCGGTCAAAGACGGAGGAGGACGAGGACACTACGAGCTCGTGGGGGAAGCGTATATGTATGGTATGATGGAGGGCGAGTTCATGTGGACGAATCCACCGACGCAAGAGTTTACGCTGGTTGAGGCAGGGAGGTGTCAAGGTTGACAGGATGGGTATGGGGGACTAATCTTGTTGTCAGGTTTGCAAGTTTTTAATCTTGGGTATGAAGTGTCTTGAGACTGAGACAATTGCAACGGAGCATAGAACACATGTTTGATGTGGTAGATCAAATCTTGTTAGAAATTGAATGTACTCGGAAATGTCTTCGACAATTCATCTTGGGAATTTCAAAATGCATCTGAGATTGCATACACGATACAAGCCTTCGTGATGTTTGACCGCTTCGGCATATCACGAAGGTATCCAAACGAATTGCGGCAAACCCAAAGGGGAGCTAAGCAACCAAAACCAGAAGAAAAACAAAAAGGTAAATAGAAACCTTGACATCCATCCCGGCGTCAAAACAAGGATTCGGGATGTCAAACGGTGAAAAAATGCAAAAGCAATTGGGACCTGGGAGGCTCGAACTCCCGACCTCAGGATTACTCTGATGTTAAACCAGATCATACTGTAGTATGAGACCTGCGCGCTAGCCAACTGCGCCAAGGTCCCTTTTGTTGAAGATACATTCGGAACAAAGACCTCATAACAAACACACGATAGTTTACACAAGGCCACCGAAGGCTTGAGATGATGCAAACATGGGAATTAAAGAAAAGAACTGTTCTGATTCCAAAACGGTCCCCTTCTGAATCGACACTCTTGATCAATCCAGGTTTGAAATCAAGACACCCAAACAATTAGAAAACCTGAACGAGGGCATTCCCAAACTTCTAAGCGCTGCGTGCCGCGGTTGTTACAACTGCCCGCCGCTGCACTGTCGCGATTACTGTGCCTTATCGTGCAGTTCGTCATCGACCCGCCCGGAAAGTCCCCTGGAGATCGCCTCCCATTCCGATAAGCAAACCGCGAATGTTGCCTCTTGATACGATACGTACAACCTCAAGTTTTTGTTTCATCTTCTTCTTCGTCCTTCTTCCTTTCTGTCTTTTTCCCTTTCGCTTCTTTCGGTACTATACCCTTCGTTCCCTTGAATCCCCGCCCTAGGTGCCCCCGCAATGAGCTTCAACCCCATGCTCTGTACTTGCTCACTCCGCGCCGTGCAGCGCACAACCGCCAGTAACCCGATTTCCTCGACCCTCTCAGCACGAACGTTATCACAATCCTCGCGCGTGTGCTTAGCTGCCGATATCTCGTTCAAGTCCAAACCCGAAACAAACAACAAGACAAGCCACGACCCAACTCCCGAGTCCAAGCCCAACGAATCCCAAAATGCTACCACCAACCCGCCCAGAAACGAAACCTCCTCCTCTGCCAACCCCGACGAAAAAGAACCAGGCCCCATGACCCGCCGCCTCGCCCAAGCAACAGAAGATGCCCTCCTAACGGGCGGCCGCGCCGGCCTCCGCGCGATCGAAGAAGCCGGTTTCGACGAAGACCTGCGCAACCGGCTCCTCGCCAAAGTTGCCTCCGCAAAATTCGCCTCCGAGCACGCCTCCGCGCTCTCTGAAGCCGGCCTCACTTCTTCCGGCCAGTCACGCACCCCGTCATCAGCAGGGCAGGGAACACGAAGCATCGCTTCTTCCCAAGCGTGGACAGGTGAGGAGTCAACAGAAGACGCGGTGTTGAGGATGTTAAACGACGCGCACAAACCTCTTTCGCGCGAAGCGCGGGGTAAACCAAAGATTCCTAGTCCGGTGGTGGATATGCGGATTCAACGCGCCCCACAAATGAGCGCGGGGAGAAGGGTAGCCAGCGCGAGAGAGAAGGCGGCTGCGTATGTGGACTTGGAGTTACCCAAGGCTGATACGATGGGATTGACGGAGGAGGAGAGGGAGGAGTTACGGAGGGAGTTTAGAGAGCGGTTCACACCGATTGCGAGGGCGATGCCGAATACGGTTTCGGGACTGGCGGCGCTGGCGAATGAACGCATTGAGAACGCGATTGCGAGGGGCCAGTTTAAGAATATTCCGAGGGGCGTGGGCGTGGAGAGGGATGCGAGGGCTGATAATCCTTTTATTGATACTGTGAGTTTTTATTCTTCTACTACTACTTCTTTGCTCCTGTTGCTCCTGTTGCTCCTGTTGCTTCTACGACGAGTACGAGTAAGCGCCGTGACTGATAGCCCTGGTAAAAAACAGACCGAATACATAATGAACAAAATGATCAAACGCCAAGAAATCGTCCCCCCTTGGATCGAGAAACAGCAAGAACTCATCAAAACCGCTGAGTCCTTCCGCAAGCGTTTACGAAACGACTGGTTACGACATGTCGCGAGGACGATATCCAGTCGCGGCGGTTCCTTGGAAGACCAAATCCGGAGAGCCAACGAGTACGCCCGCGCCGAAGAGATTCATAACCCCCGACGACGAAACGTCGATCAGATATCTGTACCGACGAACTCGACGGAGGACCCGGTCATGGTTAAGATCCGGCAGCAGACGCCGGGTGTTTCTTTATCTGCTACTTCTACTTCTGCTGCTACTTCTGGGAATCATGAGTCAGCAACGACAACGACAACGACGGCTGACGAAACACCATCACCAACACCAAAGACCCAACAAGAACCAGATATCTCCTTCACCAAACCCTTCCGCGACCCCACTTGGGAATCCTCCGAGCGTTCCTTCCTCGAGCTCTCCATCACGAACCTAAACACCATCACGCGTTCCTACAACTTGATGGCTCCGGAGCTAGCCAAGAAGCCTTATTTCTCTTTGGAGCGGGAACTAAACAATTGTTTCGCGGACATGGCGCCGTTAGTTGCGCAGACGATCAGAGACAGAGCGACGAGGCCGGCTGGGACCAATATCGCTGATACGATGGCGTTTAGGAAGCAGGATGGGATTTTGGGAAGGTTTACGGGTGATGGTGGGAGCCAGAGGGTGTATGAGAGGAGAGAGCCAAAGTATGGGTTTAGGGAATTTTGGAGGGATTTGTGGAGGAAGGATGGTAAATAGATTAGATACCTTACTGCTTTGAGGCGGTATCGAACATGCCACTGGTGACATTGAACTGTCATCATAAACATGCAAGCACATGGGAGCGGGACGTTAGCCTTGAACCCGTCAAGGTAGCTTTTAGGAGGCGAAGAGAGGATTTTCATTCATGTAGTGATACCGTAAGATGAGGATATCGGGCCAGCCGATGGCTTGCCTCATTGTGTAGAATCCGTACTCTGTGTGCTCTGCGACAAGCCAGTCCCAACCTTCGCAGATTTTGCATCGTCATCGCACGCCGCCCTCATCATCGCTTGCGCCATATCCTTGAACAGCTCCATTTTCACCTCTGCCACCAGGTCCTGTCGCAGCTCCGCCATCAGCTCTTCCTTGATCTCCTGCCGCATCTCGTCCATCAATCCCTCTCGCATATCGTTCCACAGCTGCGACTGCTGTTCCTCCGTCTTCTCCACCATAACCTGCTGTGTCTCGGCAAGAACTTGGTCCTCCAACTCGATTTTCACATCAAGCATGTCATTGTCGATTTTATCGTTCACATGGCCGATGATGTGCGCCGCTTCCTCTGAGTCGTAGCGGCACGGGGTGTGATCGCAGCGAGCAGAGTCGGCGAGCATCTTCTCAAGGTGTACGACGCGATTTTGCAGCTCCGCGTGGCTCTTGGCCAGTTGAGCGAAGGCAGTGAAGATGCGCTTGTTATCGGGAGTGGAGGGAGACAGGGATTCACTTGTTCGTCGACGTTTGCGGACTGAAAGGCAGGAATGTGTTAGTGGCCAAGTGAGATAATGATGCGAGTGAGCGTAGAGGGCATGAGGACGTACCGGACGGAGTTATTATCACTTGCGCTGGACTCTGAAGAGAGCCATACTTGGTGTATGTCGGTGCCACCACTTCTTCTTCTATCGTTTGCTGCACAGGTTGCGAGTTTGCGGCTTTGCTGACGCTCGTGTTGAATGCGGGAAGTCCAATACCGATGTCGAGTATATGGCCACCGGCACCGGCATACAGCCTCTGAAGACCAGCTCGTCGCGCATCTGTCTTGGGTCGATCACGGGCACGAGTCGACGAGAAGATTGACGGAAGCAATGCTAACTGCTCCCGCATTTCCGGCACAAGGCGAAACTTGTCTAGGTAGAAGTCGAAAACTTGAACTGCAGCGAGGGCCTTCATAACGTCAAGCCGACCAAGAGATTTGTTTTTCGGTTCAAGAGGGCGATCTTTCGCAAACACGAGAGTAGGCGGCTGTGACAGGGTGAAGCGCAGACGAATGAAGTTGTTAGATCTGTCCTCCATCCCAAGCGTTGGTGGACGGGTGCAATCGTCAAACTCGATTGAGTGAATGCCCTCGGGGTAGATGAACAAATAAAGAGGGACTGAGCTGATGCTGCCTTTGATGTATATGAAGTTCTGTAGCACGAAGAGAGCTCGTTGATCCGAAGTATCGACCAGCATGTCCATACGGAGATCTGATGTGTGTTCCATATGATGGTCTGCATCCTCCCACACGGTCACTCCGGTCCAGTTGGTCTTGTCGATTCTGCAGTGCATTTCATTGTCGCTTGAATCGAGCGAAAGCAGAATATCGTCATCATCGTGGTTGACGAGACTATCGGTCAGCTCGCCACCAAGGTTGTCATTGTTGATTCCACTCACCTCCGGCGTACTGTCGATCAAAAGCTCGGTTAGGCCTAATATCCTGGTATTTCTTTTGCGTACATGTTACAAATTGTGTGGGGGAGACAAAGGGGGCAGATTTGCCGCTCACCCGTAGCGACGCAACTGTCCATCAGTTCCCCCAGACGGAGGTGGAAGAGTGCCACAGCCACCAGCATCTGCATCCACGGCCTATCGAAGAAGCCCCATTCCTTCCAGCAAGTGGGCTAACCTGCTGGGTAGGAGTTGGCAAGTTTTTATGGCTTCTCGACCCGAGTTCCACCTACTTCCAGAAGCATCACACGACTGAGACGGACGGCCAAGTGCCCTGCCGGACACACGGCACCAGATCTGGGGCTGAAAAGGGAAAGTCCCGTCGCTCTCGGGTGACAATGTAGCTGTCGAACGGTTCCGCACGAACGGAAGCAAGACAGAGAACGCGACGGCCAGTCATCGTCTCTGCTCGCGGCCTATCAAGAAAAACCCAGTCCTCCACCAGGAGTTGACCTGCTGATCGGATCCAGCGCTTCTCGACTCGTACGGCACGGAACTACAGTACATCGCCAGGGAGACGCGCTCCGGCCATGCATCCTGCCAGATACATGACCTCGGGACTGGGGCCTTGGTAGTGATTAAAACCTGCCGCTCTAGCACGGCATTGAACTTTCGGAGCGTTCCCAACAATCGGAAGTAGACATCTCAGCCCACCACCTATCAAGAACCCCATTCCTTCCAGCAGATGGCTAGTCTGTGGGTAGGAGTTGGCAAAATTTTACGGTTCTTGACTGGTGGGACGCGTCCTTCCAGATATTGCCAGGCAGAGACAGACGACCGTGTGCCCAAGAACACACGGCACCAGGAGTGGAGGGGGGAGATGGGAGAGGGAGAGGGAAGGGAGGTGGTGGAAGAGAGAAAGGAAAACCTAGTGTCGGTGATGATAGTCCCGCCGTCTTGCTAGCCGACACAGCTGTCTGTGAGCTTCCCATCAAGAACGAGTCATGGGAGGCTCACTTCCAGTGTGTCGACGAGCAGAAACGGACCGGCTATGCATCCACGCAAGCGTGGACTCACGGCACCGGTACCATCAAGCACTGACCCTGGTAAGGAGTATGGTTGTGTTGGGGAGAGTTCGTCGTCGTCGTGATCCATCGCGTTGCGGTCGGGGTGCGAGGGAGGAGAAGTGCCAAAGAGAGAATAAAAAGAAGGGGAAGAATTAGAAGAAGGAGGAGGTGAAGTGTGGGTCACCGAGTCCACCATGGGAAAGGGGAGGACGAAACGGGCGGGGATGAAATAGAGGTCGATGAAAGAGATGGAAAAGGCGCCCCAGGGTGAGATTGACGGAAGCAAATTGAGTGGGAATTGAAGAGAGGAGACCTGGGGAACACAACTCACTTTTGCCCAAGGGAAGCCCAGCCCTTTTGTGTGGGCTGCTAGTTTGAAGCTGGGCGGCGATTGGTTATTATGAATCCACTTGACGGCTCGCTTATGAAAGGAGTGTGCGGTCACTATCATGTCTGTCGGTTAAGCTCTGCAATTATTGTTAGAGAAGGAACTGTTAGTGGGTCGAGCCACTTGGCCTGCAGTCATACGTTCCGTTCCGCGTCCAACATTGCTTGGCACGGCACACTTACATCAACAAGTCCGTTTTCATCACTTGACAAACAAAAACACCAGAGTTCATGATCACGATCACGCAAATACCGTCTTTGACAAAGGCCTCAATGGTTGAAGGTTCGCGTGAGTCCCGCGGCAGACGTTGGGCATCATCTTGACGCTGGAAAAGTCACATGACTCCGCGGATGAGTGGGCAGTTCAGCCACGGGAAAGCAACCAGCCACACACTTCACTAGCCACACACTTCTCCTAATGGACATATCAGGGTTAGGGTCATCATGAAGACAGTCTGTCACCAACAAGACAATGTCACTCGCCATTCACGAATCATTCCGGCACTAAAATTGAGGGCCGAACCTCCCGTACCCGAGGTTATTATCCTGGCCGCTGTGTGTTGTGTACTGGCGGTCAACGCAGTTACCATCATCTCTTCACCAAGAGATCTGTTGGCTTCAAAATGGTGAAAAACACCAAGATCATAAAGCACGATACAGATGTCAGAGCAGCGCTGGATAACACGGTGAACTGGAAAATTCTTCAGAATAGCGCTACGACTCAAGACTCTGAGGCCCACTCCCAAGAGTGTCCGTCTCTTGCGAGGTTTACAGCCTGAAAAGCACATGTGATCGATCGGGTCTAGCATGCTGCTTTAGTTTTCTCACGACGTTAGGAAGTGCCCAAGTGGCAAGCAAGGAAGAGGGGGTGATGTTGTGCCTGGGTTAGCTTCGCAAGCCTTGCCAGCACTTCCACGACCAGAGTTGTCTTCGGACTCAACCCGATGTTTGGAGTCTCGACATCGCTAGAATACTGCCCGGAAACACAGAGTCAGCCCGCAAGCTGACCATTGCTCAGGAGCAGTGTGTGTTCAGTGAAGTCAAAACTGAGTTTGGAACAAGGTCTAGACCCATACATACAGCCACCAATGGGACAGAGTCCCACACTCTCCACGTATCCACGTGCTACGGCAGGCTCAGGCTGTCGATTGCAATCCAGCCTTTGCAAGTGAGACAAAGAAGTCAATCTAATCGGATGCTAAACTACACTACGGAATCTCTCCGCACCGCCAGTAGGCCAGCTCCAGCCTCTCGATTTGAGATGATAACGGGCATCAAAAATATCAGAGAGGCAGTCAGCGCGGGACAGTGAGCCAGAAAAACTGTGTCGACGGGGCTTTTGTTGCATACAACGGTCACATACAGGCCCCTAAAGGGCAGGCTGCCATTCAACAGATTCATGGCCACGACGATCTGGTTTACTTGCCACAAGCAGCGGCCGCCCCGCTCTGATGGTCAATATGGCAGAATAGCTACCGGCTGATTGCAACCTCTTTCCCAGCCAACCGGCAGCGGACAGCGGCGTCCACGGTTCAAAGAATGGCAATTCCATGGACGGAACGTCGATGTTATATGTTCCACCACAGATGGACTCCCATGGTCCTCACCCTGACACAAATGTCAGATAGGTGAGACCAAGCGTCTCAAGTATGCCCAAGAATAACGGTCTGTCAGACAGAAAACTGGACGACACCCGTAAAGAGAAAGATGGCTTCAAAAAGAGAAGGCTTCAAGACAGCATCAACTAACCAACGAATCACCACACTGCCGAAACAAAGAAGAGTATCCAAGCGTCATACATGGCTGCCGAGACCTCGCTAGGCATGAACGCCCGTCTGCTTCCAGAACGGAGAAGCCCACGTTAAACCTATTGCAGAAGAAGGCGTTGATCCTTCTTAACGACTGCTACCAAATCCTCAAACCCCTCCC